ACGAGAGGTAACCTGTGCCTGGAATCACTCGATCGTTTAATCAGCCGCCGCCGTCCACGACCAAGGACGATAAATTAATAATACTGATTTTTGATTTTGTTTTTTATAGATTTAAAACTTACGCATGAAAGAAAGAATTCAAATCGTTGTCCATTTGCGAGACTGCCGAGAATATCTGCTGCCCTACAATTGGCTAAAAAGTACAATTGGCAGCACTGCACTGACATAAGACTGCGAGCAGTCTCTTTCTTTTCCTAGCCTGCGAATAGTTTAGTTTTTATCTACATTGTACCTCCTCGCTACTTTCCCTAATTTGCATAATCTTAACCGAGTTCAGCGCGCAGAGGTTTTCAGGAACAACAACAGACTACTTGTAGTCTAGTAATTTGCCACATTTGACCCGAAAAAAACTTAAAATTTGATTGCATGTTAACGCTTTGCATGGCAAAGCACAACACAATATTATGATAGAAAATCGAGAGATTGTGAGCAGAGGTTACCTCTCGTCTCTGACCGAGCAGAAAGAGAAGCCGGGAACCACTGTATCGCAGGGTACAAAAAGAACAGTCAATCAAGATTGAAATTGGAATTTGCCGTTTGGCAAAATATCAGGTAAATCCGCAATACTGTTGATTATAAAATCCGGATTACNACCAGCTCCGTCCAATTCAAGGTGGATACGATAGCTTCGACAACACTATGAGGGAAGCCACTGCCAACAGCAATTTTCATTCCAGCTGATTTCAGCTTGCGAAAAACGTCGGTCGTCCCCGGAATTTCGTTTCTAATCGATGATAAATGCTTGTTCAGGAAATATTTAAAATCTTTGAATATAACTTCGACATCGTTGTTTGGAGTCGTGTTGCTTTGCTTGTGCAAATCGTTCAAAATACATTGAATTGCTTCTCTCTTCTCCATCCCGCGATATTTATTGACGATTTCCGCATCGATGTCATAACCATGCTTTTCAAACGTCTCCTTCATAGCAACTGCAACGAGTGGTACTCCTTCGACGGAGTCATCCACAGTAGTACCCGCAAGATCAAACACTAACAATTTTATATTCTCTGCCGACACGTCCGCCATCTTTGCTTTGTCATTAGAGAGCCCGTGATACCAAAGGAATGGACAGTGGAAAAACTGAGCCTGTGGTACCCACGTTCTGAGACAGCGGTAAAATAAAATGGCGGCGGAAAGCTTGAGGGTCGGTCTCAAAAACATATTAAATAGCCTTCTGTTCTTAACTAGTCTATCTTTCGCTGGTATAATTTGAGGGTATGGCTGACAGTTTCATTATATGTTCTCTCCTTATACATAGATACTCGTGCTTCACGGATACAGGTAAATATATAAACTTA